AGTTTAATTGAGAAAATATAAATGCAAAGCATCCAATAGTTCCAAAACTCTATATGAAACCCAAATGCTGTTTTTGTTTTTTCCAGAAAACTACATTTTTCTCAAAGAAAGAACAATCATGCCTGAAGGGCATGATGCTTTTATGCAAAGCTCTAACCACCTGACCTGACATTCACTACCCAGAAAAAATGACAATGGATGGGGAAAAAAAGAACAGATGGAAAGAAAACAGGCTATGTTGATTCAAAGTGAATGTCGAATTTAAGAATTTCATAAAAGTAAGCAGGCTTATACTTCTAATTAAATATATGGCTTTAAATGTTATTGTTTTCCTTTTGCTTATTTCTAATGAAATGATTTTACTTTATAAAGTTATAAAATTATATCATAGTTTATTTGACATATAGATTAAAGTACAGATAGTCCTTGATTTATGACCAAACTGAACCCTACTTATTATGGTTGTAGGTCATGATAGTCATAAAACTGGTCATTATGGGAACAGCCTGATTTTATTAGCGTTTTTTGCAACAGTTCTTAAGTGAATCATCATAGTTGTTAAGTGAAGGCACAGTCATTAAACAAATGCATTGTTCATTATGGGACATTTTTACTGAAAACTGTAAATAAACACTGTTTTTCATCAAAAACCTAAATCACAGTCACATGACACTGAGATGCTGCAAAAGGCCACATGAACATGGGGTGGTGGTAGCCGTCAGAATTCGAAAATCAGGTCATAAGCACCTTGTGAGTGATCCAGTATAAATTAAAATTTGAGGAATCCATTATAAATATTTTTCTACTGAGTCTAATTCCAATGAAATAATTTATTTTATGGGGAGTTCTCTTAAATTAACTGTATTCCTATGCAGGACTGAAATACAGTAGCAGTAACAATATACTTTACAGGGAAAAGTGTTAGTTGTTATAATTTGCATTCTATTACATACTCTGTCTACATTTAAAATTATTACATTACTGCATAATAAACATAAACAAATATTTAACTGCAGCAATTAAATTTAGGTCACAAAGAAAACAAAATGTTGCTGACACTCTGAAGTGACAACACTGAAATTATAGTTCATTTCACATCAGTTTCAGATGATAACTGGTCAAACACTTTCAAATCACAGCTGGCATAAACGCTAAGCAATTAAAACCTCTTTATATTCTTCTAAAAGTTCCCTTGGCCATCTCCTTCAAAAACAAGCAATGCTACCTTTAAAAAATAGATTCTTAGCAAAATGAAACAGTAGTCCATGCTGCTAGGTCACTTGGAGGCTGCATGCATTTGCCATATTCTTTAGGAAATAGTGTAGCCATGAAAAAAGCTACAAGATGCTTTTCATGAAAGTATGGGTGAATCCTATCTCTGTGGAACAACAAGCAAAGCCTTTCTTATTTATGATGTGATGATTCCATCTGACAGTTGTAGTGAAAGGAACTGATACTTTATTCCAGAACTGAATTAAGATATCTCAAAACAGAGTAACATTATGCTCTTTTAATTGGCCTGAACAAAGGTTTTCAGAACTTTTGGAACACTTAGCCGAGATTTGAAAATTAATCCAAATACTTAAGAAGTCACCTGTCAACATTTGTGCCATTTCCTCCACTTATAATATAATAAGAGTACTTTAAAAACAGAATTTATGTTTCTTTAAATAGGGTATCTTCTCAGAAGATTTTAAATCCATGCTTGCTTCTTTCTGTTATCAAATAAAAGCTTTAGAAAAAGACACAAGTAGATACAACAGAATAATAGAATAACAGAGTTGGAAGGGACCTTGGAAATCCTACCCCCTTCTCAGGTAAGAAACCCTATACCATTTCAGAAAAATTGTTCAATCTCTTTTTAAAAACTTCCAGCATAGGAGCATCTACAACTTCTGGAGGCAAGTTGTTCCACTGATTAATTGTTCTATCAAGAAATTTCTCCTTAGTTCTAGGTTGCTTCTTTCTTTGATTGGTTTACATCTATTGCTTCTTGTCCTGCCCCCAGGTGTGTTGGAGAATAGGTTGACTCCCTTTTTTTTTGTGGCAGCCCTTTAGATATTGGAACACTGCTATCATGTCACCCTAGTCCTTCTTTTCATCAAACTAAACATACCCAATTCTTGCAATCATTCATCACAAGTTGTAGCCTCCAGCAAAAATACGATTTTTGCATTTAAAAATTTAAACTATATATGGAGCCTTGAAGATTGGAAAAGGTGTCTTTTGAGAGGTTTTCAATAGGTCTTCTCATGACTTTCTCCCAGGATAAGCAATCTTCACTTTATGGTTAACTTTAATTTTATTGGGGGAGTGGGGAAAAATGTGAAAGGGAAATTGAAACTTTGGGGATACAAAAATATACTTTACATGCTGGTAAACTACATCCTAAGCCTAATATTTAAAATAAAAATTATGAGATATTCCCCTAAAAACTTTCAAACTACTCTGGCTTTAAAAATAGCTTTTGCCAACTAATTAAAAATGGATTGTTCTATCATGAAAATCCATCAGAAATTTTGAAATGAGATATTTAACAAGTTTTATAGTTGGTACTGAAAGAAAACTACAATATGATACCAATTTACCAATATGATGCCAACTTACAATATGATACCAATGATACCATGAAGAATATGTTCGGTTTAAAAAATGAGATGAAAACAGTATCTTGTTCTCATTTAAAATATACATATTAATAGAGTCAAACCTTTATTGATCAAGAAAATTAAAGCAGAGAATAAAATTACATTCCTTGGGGATATCAAAATCGGTAAGCCAAAATCAAACTGCTTTACAATTAGAACTTTATTTTTTTCCCATGTACTCTTATTTAGATTCCTAAACTAGAATGCTCACAAATTCTTACAAATTATATTTTAAAAATTACCATAACTTATTCCTCTATAGGGGAACAGGCAAAGATAACCTATAGTTATCTGTATCTATGACATATGTTAAGTCACATATTGTTTGTCTCATAGAAGAAGGAAGATCTTATTTAATGACTCTCATATTACTGTTCGAAGATATAGGTAGTCCTCGGCCTACAACAGTTGCTTAACAACCATTCAGAGTTACAACAGACCCCCCAAAATCTATTTATGACTGGATTTTGAAATTATAATGGTTACACCCCCCACCACCACAACAGTGGTCATATGATTGCATTTTGGATGTTTGGCAATCAGCTTACCTTTATGGCCGTTTTCAGCATTCCACAGTCGCATGACTACAATTTTTGACATTTTTTTACCAATTTCTGGCATTTATTTCAGGTTTCTAACAAAAAAAAACCCTTCCCACTGGACAAAATAGATCTGCTTAACAACCATGGTATTTGCTTAATAACTTCTGCAAAAAATGTCAAAAATCAGCTCTTATCATGTGATGCCTCAACATATAATTTAATGACTTACAACCATAATTCATATATAAGTTGAGGACTACCTGGAGTAATATATTCAAAGCAGTTGAAAGAAAATAAATGTTTCCCTGTACATTTTTGTTGAAAGATTGAAATGTTAGGTTGTAGATGTTTGTTTTAAAAGATTATTTCCCACAGTACTGCATATCATTATCAAATAATGGTTTTACTGAACAAATGAATCAGACATCAAAAGAAAAGCTAAAGAAATATGCTGGGGAAAATCCTAAATCCTGGAACACTTGGCTACTGTACTGATAGGTGAACTCATGGTATTCTAGATATGATAAAAGAAGGGTGAGTTAATAGAACTGAAGGCAATAGAATTGACTTTGTAACCAAATAACATACATATATCCGTGTTTGTGTGTGTGTTTGTGTGTGCATGCTTGTTTACATTCTTATACCAAACTGTTTTCTTTCTAAGAATTTAAATGTATATATGTTAGAATGGATGGAAAAAATAACAATTTTCTCTCAATGGGTTCAGGAAAATTTAAAATCAACTCAAGAATCTCAAACTTGAGTTTCTCAACCTGACTGATTCTCAACTTGAACCTCCTGAATACATTCTTAAATTCCTTGGTTATAAGCTCTCCCCTCCCCCACTCTATTTTTTAAAAATAGCTAACTAAAATAGAGCCAATCAGGCAATAAGACCTTAACAAGAACAAGTAATCTGACCCGAATCAGTAATTTGGTGGGATAAGAGAGACTTTAACATTTTATCTCCCATTATGTTACCAAACTAGACCAGATCTGGACTTCCATACCAACTATTTACATTGAAGTAAAGTTCCTATTGACACAAGTGAGAATTTTACTTCCAGTTCAAATAATAGTTATAATGAGATGCAAAAACAAAATCTTCACACCAAGCTTGTGATTTTATATCTATTTTATCTATAATAACTTATTGAAAACTGTGTATTCTTCATCTTGATTTTGTCTTGTCTCTCTGACCCTTTTATCTTGTATCTTCTGAAGATAAAGCATGAAAGATATTTAATGTCCTTGTAAAACCTGAAGGTTTAAAATAACATCTAAAAAATCCTTCAAAATAAATTGCTATCTTGCAAGTGACACTTCATTTGTTTTATTAAAGTGAGACCTATATAAGAAAGAGTCTAGTTTTGTCTTACAATATTCCAAGCCTACATAAAGAGATTCTCAAACTAGGCAAAAGGAAGTAGTCTCAACTATTACAGGTGACAGAAAAATGTCATTTTCCCACTCTTCCTAGAGGATTGAAAATAAAATATGTTCAACAAAATATTTTCATTTCTATTTTTTTTTTAATGGGGGAGAACACACTGGCAAAAGTCAGTATTTCCCCAAAACTTTGTGCATACAAAATATCTCCAGAAAAAAATTGAATGACAAAATCCTAATATAATATAAGTAATGTCACATCAATGAAGAAGGTACACTATCGAAATATTATAATCATTTAACAACTTCAGAGTAAAATAGAGTTAAATTATGTGGGAGCATAATGAACAACTAATAAAAGTGCACAACATCAATTTACATTAGGAAGTGGAATGGGTTATAAAAGGTTATAAAAGCTCACCACTTCTTCATGCCTGCATTTTCTTACATTAATTCCATTAATCTGTTGAGGAAGAAATAATAATTTGAGGAAAGGGTCTTTGACTTTGCATGCAGGAAGAATAAATGTATAAGATCTGACTAAAAGAGAACTTGTTTACCTACCTGTAGAATTGCATCTCCTATGAACAGTAGGCCTGAGAGTTCCGCTGAAAGAAAGAAAAGAGGAGGGAGGGTGGGAGGGAAGGAAGGAAAGGTGTTTTTCATTTCAGCTTTCTCTATAATTTTCCACTAGCAATATCAGTGGGGCAGTGCAGAATTATAAAAAATAACTGAAAAATAAACTGCAGGTTTATCCCATACCCAGAGTGCAGTGGTGGGATTCAAATATATGAATAACCGCTTCTCTGTACGGATGCTGCTTCTGGAAGTCCATTCTGGGCCTGGCCAACAAAAAATTAGCTACTGGTTCTGCTGAAGTGGTGCGAACCAGCTGAATCCCACCACTGCCAAAGTGCCTTAACTGATTTCTCTAAAAATCTTAGCCTATCAGTTCACAAAGAAAAAAAGAGGACTGTCTCCAGTTATCTCTGTCCAGCCTACAAATCTGCAAAGACTTCAGATGCCCCACATCCCAGCAATTAAATAATGTCTGATCTGATGGGATTCAGGTGTTCATCTAGTTCATTTCCAGGAGCTAGACCAGCATATCATATAGACGCAGGTTAATTTTATGAAGTACATGTTTGGCTCCGGATTGATCAATGTTATTCTTTTACTGTTTTCTTTTTTGAATTCTACTGCTTTTAGTCCTTGTTAGTATTCTGAGTCACTTGGTACACAGTGAATATTGAGCATATTGTGCTCACATTTGTAATGAAATTCCCCCCCCCCCAAAAAAGAAACACACAGTTAATTTTATTAAACAAACTGAGTAACAGCTTACTTCGTTGTTCTTTGGAAATTTTGGAAACGACCACAGGAATATTATGCTCTGCTCCTCCCTATGAAATAAAGAGATCATACTTCACTGAGTCTACTGTTAACTTATAAATACTACATTTCTTTAGCTTTAGCTTCTTTTAAAAAAATATGAAATAAGTAAAATAACTCATCATTCTTTTTGCTAATGACCACATGAATGCAATCAGTCCTTTTGTCAAGGAGAAAAAAATGCTGGCAATATCATGATATTCTGCATACGTAAAAAAGAATAAATTATTGACAAAGGAATACAAATTCATTACATGTTTTCCCAGATTTCTCATAGTATTATAGCATCAAATCCACTTCATGAAAAGCAAATGGACCTAATTCCCTGGTTATTTTTGATTTTCTGTTTTCCATTCTTATATGCACAAAGGTTAGTAAGAAAATGAAAAGAAAATCTGGCACAAAATAAAATAAGAATTCAAAGATAGTTAACAAATGACTGTTTCGCATTGAGGGGTAAAAAAACAAATGAAAAGCAAAATAAACTGAAGGTACATTTCTCTACTTTTTAAAAGTCCATTGGTTTATGTTGCCAGGAAGGAAAGAAGAAAGAAGGCTTTGGGTAGCACTCTATTTTATAACATATATATTTTAATATAATAATGGAATAAGGCAATGCCCATTACCTTATATTTCAGGATTGTATTCTCAATGTATTTTTCCATCTTATTATTGCTAAGATAATTGGATCATTTAACATAACTACTTATAGCAAAATTGATAATACCAAAATAATTTTCAGTCTTATTAGCAAACAAGTTTGGAATAATGCAGAATTGTAGATTTATTCATTGGCTGTAATGTGACAGTTATTTTAATTCATATTTTATTAATACCCATCTTAAGTGCCAATTAAGATCACAGTTTGAGTGACTGTCTACAGTATTCTAAAAGTAAATAAACCTCTAATAAAAACTTTCATGATACAATGAATGGACAAAGAAGAATAAAATACAATGGCAACCCACTGATCTTATTAAATATATTCCCTAAAAGATAAAATCCATGCTTGATACACACAGATGCAGACACACACACATATATAGCAATAGAAAGAATATCATACTACCTTTATACTTAATCCAAATCCTCCTACAGTTTGTCTTCTAATTGTTACAGTTCTTTCCTGAAAAAAAAAAATCAGATTTAAACATTTCCTTAAAAACAACCATCATCACACTGCATTGTCTCTTTTTGGCTTTGTGCTATATAACCATTCTGGAGTTTTGAATTTCAAATATGTCTTGTTACATACAATATTGCAAAACATATTTACCTAAAGTGGTGATCTGAATGACAAAACACAAATACAGGTAGTCCTCGGTTTAATGGCCACTTTTTCAGTGACAGTTCAAAGTTACGACAGTGTGGTACTTGTGACTGGCCCTCAAAGTTCCAGCCATCCCAGCTTCTCTCATGTGATGGAGAGCCAGGTGCTTGGCAACTGGCTTACACTTATACGGTTGCAGTGAGTTTGTTCCCATAGGTTTCCACAGACATGTGACTGCCATTAGAAACCTTCCCTGCTAGTTTCCCACAAGCAAAGTCAATGGGAAGCTAGCACAGAAGGTTGCAAATTATGGATAAGCCTCCTCTATACTGCATCAGCCACTCTCAGTCCTGCCATACTTGCATCATGCCTCGCTGGCTCATCGTGCACTCTCATGTACTCTGCAGTAGCCACACGTCCTGCCATGCTTGCACTATGCTAGCATCTTACACCTTGCAGCAACCAACTGTATCTCACCCACATGTGACCCGCTGGGCTCTCCCTCACCCTACACATTGCAGCAGCCATCCCAGGCTTCACTATGCTTGTACTGTACCACTTGGCCATTCTCATACCCTCCTGCAGGCAGCAGCAGCCAGTTACCTGCCCAGCAGCCTATTTGTGAGCAGTCTGGGAGTTTTAATTTCCTACCAGCTTCCCACTGACTTTGCTTGTTGGAAGCAGCAGGAAGTTGCCAGGAGATACTCACTAAATGACCTCTGATCCTTGCTTAACAGCAGCAATGGGAAGTGCCAGAATTGCCATCCCTAAGCAATGTGGTCACATAATGTCATGCTTTATTACTGCATCATTTAGCAATGGAAATTCCAGTTTCATTAACTGAGAACTACTGTAAGTGATATTTGTTTAAGTATATTTGTTTATTTTCTGGAATTCTAAGTGATTCAACTATAAAAGCATAACACAAAGATATATATATATGCAGTCATTTTTCAATATCTAAATCTCTGTGATTAGGCATTAGGTCTTCTCAAATGTTCCATTGACCAATGTAAGGCAATCTGTTTTAAAATCAGCATTAAAGTCCATGAATAGCCTTGCTGCATTGGACCAAAATCTGCATAAATTCAGTATTTTGTTTCTTATAAGAGCCAACCAGTTATACACAGGAATAATTAACTTGAGGCATTGGCCATTAATATTGATAGCTTTAAAAGGAAATTGAACAAAATCATGGAAAGTAACTCTTACATTTTAACATTGTTCCCATGTAGCAGGCATTTGTACATAATTTGTCACTGTTCAAGTATAATACACTTCAAGACGATAGACCTGCATTTTGTGAATTTAGGTAATCCTCTTTAAAGTTATCCAAATTAATACCCATCACCACTGATTAATTATATTCTGTATGGAGAACAATGTAAAATGTCTTTTTAAAATCTTGCCAGCAGCTTCCTTGAATCACTTCTTTTCCTAGCATTTTGAGAGATCTGGTCACTGTCTTCATAGTATCCATGGTGTTATACAGCTCTGACCATTTTTACATTTTTTTGTTAAGAGACCCAAATGCTCTAGTCCAGCGGTTCTCAACCTATGGGTCGCGACCCCATTTGGGGTCGATCGACCATTTTGGGGGGGTCGCCAAAGAAGGCGATCCGCCATTTTCTCCCCTCAGGGGCGGCGCTGTGCATGCGTGCCGTGCATGGGGGCCCCCGCCCCCATATGCGCGGCGCCGCGCATGCGCAGAACGTTTGTGTGACGGGGGTCGCCGTCACACAAACGTTGAGAACCACTGCTCTAGTCTTTCATAATGAGGGTCAAGCTTCCTAAGTATTTTGTTTTCCTGTTCTGAATTTCTTCCACTTATATATCCTTTTTTCAAACAGCGCAACCAAAGTGTATCTAGAGATTGGTATCGGGGCAATACAATGCTGACAGTTCTATTTTCCTTATATTTTCTTTTTTCAAACAGCGCAACCAAAGTGTATCTAGAGATTGGTATCGGGGCAATACAATGCTGACAGTTCTATTTTCAGTCTGATTCTTAATAATCCTTAGCATGGATTTGCCTTTTTTGTACTTGTCATACATTTAGATCGTATCTTCACTGACCTCTCCACCTTGATTCAAAAAGGATTTTTTTCACATCAGAATTATATTATTTTTCCTGGATAGTTAGAGACAAATATGAAGTGCATGTATAAAGTCAAGATTTATACCCAACATGTATCACTTTAGACTTATTTAAACAGAGTCATGGATAATGTTATTTGGTTGACCATGCATCCAGTTAAAAGTCTTTGAGGAGGTCTTCACAGTCATTTTTTAGCCTTCACTCTACTGAATAATTTGGTATTTGGTAATAATCTGTGGCCAAATGGCAGGTGTGTTGGCAACTAATATGAATAAGGGTGAATATTGTGGGGTTTTTTTTTTTAGTATCCTATGCTAAATAAAAGAAGGATCATAAAGAGATGTGACAAAATCAATATTTTGATTTAACACAACAGCCTATTTTGTTTGTTTTATTTTTTCAGACATTCACCAATTTATTCAGATTTGTGCCCCTCAAAGGCCAGGATTTTTACACATCATTTACATTATAGCTCAACAGGAAAAAAGTTAAAGAAGAAATGAGGGAAAACTAGCTGAATTAATCATCTTCCTGCAAAAGGTTTGGAACCATCCTGACTGCAGTGAGCTTTGCCTATATTTTTGGGTCCAAGATCTTACTGGCATCTGTGGAACTTGTTTAGTTAGATTGACATTGTATATTTTATTTGGAATTCTTTGTGTGCTGGTTCTTTTCTCCAGTTTTTCTTGTATCCCAATACATTTCTATCCAGAGTTTTATTTTAAGGAAATTTCTCCTTCAAACTTCCCCATGTTAAAAGCTACATGGTGGGAGTGCTATCCCTGGTATTTCAAGTTTGTGTAATATTTATTTCTCGGTTTTGGATAAGGAAACACAAAGCACCTTTTCAGATTTTCCTTAAGAGACTGGTCTTTTACGGAATGATGAAGAACTTTCCAGCTGGAGAATAATGCCAGCCTAACTTCATTTTTTAAAAAAAAAAAAAAAAAAAAAAAAAGCAAAACAAAACAAAACTGGGAAGCCATTGGAAGAGGTATCCTGGTAAAGTTTAAAATTATTCCTCCTACCTTGGATGTGTAAAAGGAAGAAGGAAGAAAATCCTGGAGCTATTTCTCTAATAAAAATAGTAAATTCCATTATCTAATGGATATAAATTAGGTAATGAATTGCACATAATGTTAACCTGTACATAATGTTCAACAGAATATATCTAGTAGATGTTCTAGCTTATTAGAGAAAATGTGGAACTTTTACTATGTCAAATCAGATATAATTTGGTAAAAGGCTTTTATTGATATATTTCATAGGATAATTCATGAGAAGACATGAATTCTCTTCCTAAATTCTCCTCATTTATCTTTACTTGCTTAATCAACATTTTAATCTCAATCATCTAGTGCTATTCAGTGCATTCTTAAGAAAATATTTTCCCTGACTTCTTAATCTTAAAGCAAAGTTATTATTAATTATTATCCCATTACTCCATTTCATTCTTACAAAAGGTGCTTAAAATGACTGCTTATTTTGAATGACACTATGCTAATAATATATTTTTATACTAATTATCTGCACTCATCAGATTGTGGGGGAACAATATAAAATTAAGAAGTAGTCATGGAACAAGATGTTAATCAGAACTGAAAATGGAAGCCAGAGGCAAGCCTGAAACCAAAGATCAAGAGATCTTATTCCAGAAGAAAGAAACAGGAAGTCTTCCTAATTTATCTCCCTGAGGACTGTTTTTTTTAAAAGACACAATATTCATTCTGAATTCCACATATATCACTTCATTTGATATTTCTCTGTGGAAAAACAACCCTGACAGTTCAAAATATATAACAGCTTTAATCTGGAAGCTACTATAAAGTATGGTACTTACTCCAGAATAAAATGGTTCACCAGACACACAGATGACATCTTGTTCTTGGATTGTCAAAATGTCTTTGGCTAAGTGCAGCCGCACTTTGAAAGGCTCCTGATTACCATCCTGTAGCAAACAAATCCCTGTCTTTGACTTTAAAAGGCAGAAGAAGAAAAAAGTTTTTAGTTGTCAAATTGTTTATGGACTATTTATTCTAAAGGATCAAAAATAGTTTCCTTTAGTTTTTAATTGGAATATTCAGGAAAACCAATAAAATAAGGTATATCTAAAATGATCCTCAAATATACCCATTAAAATTCCCCCAGTTATCAGAAATATAATATTGAAACATGCATGGCAAACATTACTAACAGAAGTTTGGAAACTCAGACATTAAGTAACATTTAAATATTGTATGTATTTGGGCTTTCTACATGGATTATGGACTAAAACATCTAAAATGTTATCATAAACTAAAAAGCTCTTTTGAAATAGCAGGGCTAGTGTTTCAGTATCCTACATATGCATATAAAATACAACTTGCACATTACTTGATAGAGTACCAAACTGATAATTTTATGTTAAAGTAACAACATTTGATTTATCTAATTAAAAATATTAGGATTCCTCAACAACCAAGACCTTAACTAGGATCACAGAAACACTGAAGGTTTCAGTCATGATAATTTTGTTTTATTATTATAATCCAGTAAATAACTCTTCAATGTACACAAACAAATTCAATACAAGTGCTTTTCAGCCTGTAGCCTAGATTTGTGAATTTATAGATAAATTAAAATCAATCCACAGCTATTCTGGAAAGAGCAAGGTAACTATGGCTATTAGAAATGTTGTATAACCTACAATAGGTTATAGACTTTTTACTTCAAAACTTTTCTATCACTTTCCCAAAAAATAAGTTGACTAATTATTTTGATGATGTTTACTTTCCTTTCATTGGAATGTAAAGACACGTTAGATTTTCTGGATGGGCAATTTATATGTTTGGAGGGTGCAATGATCTCTGGTTTCATCTCTTTTTTCCTTTCTTGAATCTCTGAAGTAGTATTGACACATGGATAGTTATTCTAGTTCAGTTATTCCCCAAATTTTATTACCCAAGACAGAGATACCCAACATCTTACAACCTTTGGAGAGTTGCCAAGTGCATACACATCCAATTGTGGAAATCCCATTGGAAGCTAACTGTTTCTTGAAACAAGGAACACATTTTGTAAGCCTGTTAAATACATTCTATACTCTAGTACCCTTTCTCAACCAGACCAGCCTTCAGTTGTACTGGCTTTAAATACTAGGAAAAGTAGTCCAATACCACTGGAGGGCTGCTATGAAATATGCAGTCATTATGTTAGCCAATAAAAAGTATATATTAAGAATAAATATTAAATTTAATCAATTCCAGCAAGCTCATATCTGAGCATTGTGTGCAGACCTGGAATCAATGCAATGTTCTCAATCTTAGAATTTTATGACTGACCATGGTCCTTCACACCCCTATCTCTAAATTTCTTGCTTCTTTGCATTTGAACTTCATGATAGCAGCTTAGAGAATAAATATGGTTTTCAGGAGAAAGGAAAAACAGGAATGATGGAAAACAAATCCAGAATGATATTTTAATTCTATTAATCTCCACCAAATAGGGTTAGCTGGATGGTTCCTAATTCATTTGATGGTTTCCTGGGATAACATTTCTTGAAAAAAAAAGTATATAGTTATGTTGTGTTATTGGACTCTATATTCCTCTACTGGCTAATTACCTTACAAAATCTCCTAAGAAGCTTGATGAAAAAAACTAAGGGCAAGAATTAAATAACATCTAACTATACAGTAGGCCTAATTAAGCATCACAGTGAAATTAAAATAAGAGTGAGCAGTGGGGTGCACACAGGCAAAATCTATTCAGAATGAATAAGGAAATCAAGCATGAGAAAAGCAAAAATGAAACACATCCCAGCAAGCACACAAACACAATTCAGTGATATGAACCCCCTAATATTATTTCACACTACAATAGTTGCAGCTATACAATACATCCTTAAACTATTATTCCAGTTTTGACTTTAAAAAGCAGTGATGTATATAAATAAGAGAGCTTTCAGCCTTTAGAATGAATAGAATTCTAATTTATTTCAGATCTACAAAAGTTCATGGTGATGTGATATATGTTATCATGAAGTTTGACCTTGACATTTAATTATTAGTAGCATCAATTTCTGATCCCACTTTGGCTTTTCAAACATTGCAATACACACTACTTCAGCGATGTTTAGAAGAACACATCGAGGGCTTTTGTTTCTTTTCACTTTTTATGGCAGCTTGCTAATTCAAAACTGTTTGCAATTATCTGAATAGTTTCTAATCATCTTATTCCATTCTTATTCAAATTTATCCATTATACCACTTCCTTTTTTTTAACATTCTCAAAGTAGAGAGATATGGAAGTTGTATTACATCATGCCCTCATGTATAAGGTTTTATGAGTTGTTTCTTCCACTAAAACCCCTGAGCTCCAGAGCCTAGAGATCTAAAACTAATGCACTGTATATAATCACACGAACAGAACAATGACCCATGAATTCAATTCCCCATAGAGGGAACTGACAAATGAGCCTCATATAAATTAAAGCTCATATTCTTTGTTTTGGGTTAATGCTAATAAATTCATTATTATACTTAACACTTTTTTAATTTTCTAGCATTATTTATAATTAGTGCTTAATGATGCTAGAATATGGAAAATGAAGGAAGTGGAAGATTAGGAAATAAATGTAGAAAAAGCTAGGTAAATAAAATGAAAAATAAAGGCTTTGCATACCACATTCATAGTCCAATGGTCAGCATGGAATTAAAAGGATAAAAATAATGCATGCGTAAATGTGTCCATGAACCATGTTTTATGGTTCATTGTTTTCTTATATATGCATGCTTATAACTGTACTTATGATATTAAGTGAAGTGTATCCCTGTTAAAATCATCTTTACATTTGTGTGAAACTTGGTTTTGTATACACAAAAACATTCAAAGAAAGGAAGAAGTTGCCTGTCCTTGCCCTGGCTGTGAAGCTGATGAAGTTTAGCTTTATCTTTAAATATGCAAACCTCCATTTAATAATTCATATAATCCATACAATATTTATCATGAGAATAAAAAAGATAAAATAAGCACATATGTGCATTCTTAAGTCAGAAAAAAATTGCACTACCTCTTCACATGCAGTCCTGAAATCCATGTGCTATGGCACCAAGAGATAATTGTCTAAAAGAAGGGAAAAAAGATATTTCATTACAGAAAAAAAATAAAAATGGCAAAGGAGAAAGATGCCCAAATTTGAGGTATCCCAATAGTTATTCATTAAATACTGTTCAATGCTAGCTAAATGTCTATTCTCAATCATCCAGGTCATGTTTGTCCCAAAGGTGTTTTTCAAAAGACAACTGGACTTTCTTGGTTTTTTCCTTGAAAAATTTTCACTTCTCATCCAAGAAGTTCATCCAGAACTGAAGAAGCTTCTTGGATGAGAAGTGAAATGTTTTCAAGAAAATCCAATTGCCTTTTGAAAAGGGCTAAGGCTAGTTAAAACTAGCTCCAAATGAATTTGCATAAGAAATATCATTCCACATTCTAATTTTCCTTATGAATATGAGCTTAATCCACTTCAGTACAATAATTTTTAACAATGTAAATGCCTAGAAAAAATATGAAATATTAAGAAGAAACTGAATGGTATTAGAAAGAAAGAAAAAGAAAATGGAAATAATATTTTTGTATAACTGTGTGCTATGAGGAAACGGAAAATGTTCAAGGCAAAATAGTGCATATATTCCATGTAAATACTTAGTATAAAACAGTGAGGTTTATGTTTATGGAAATACCTGCCACAGTTTTCACAGTCAAGAAACAGTGTGGGCATATAAAACCTTCAAACTTGGCTACCATGTATTGTTTGAATTGTTATTTTGTTTTGTTTTGTTTTATTGTTATTTTAATCGTTTTAACTGTTTGCTTATTGTATACCATCCAGAGTTACATTTGTGAGATGGGTGGCTATATATATTTAATAAATAGAGATTACCATGAAATAAGTGTAAAAATGATAGCACCACCAGACATATTTATTGAGGACAATTTTCATATCATGAGATAAAGTGTGTAATTCAAATAGCTGAGACTATTCAAAGATTCTGTCCGGAAATGAATTAATCTGTAATGTTCCTTTGGTTGCAGGTTTCTGGAGCTGGACCCTGCTTTCTATCTGAAATTTCACCAGATTTACAGGGAATTTCCTGTACTTTTCAGCCAATAACTTTAGTCTTTAGGACCAGGATCACACCTATTAGCTTCCCATTCTAAACTGAAATTCACTATTACATTATTTAATATTTAATTAAAGATTAAAATAATGCAACTTTAAACAAAATCAAGCTAATAATACAAATTCATTATTATATTTCTGAGTATCAGTTTAACAAATATTGAAATAGTTTAATTATCAATCTTTTAATTTTCAAGCCCTATGCACTAAAGCATTTTGAGTAAAATACAATCACTTGGTAGAAAACTTGCTTTGGATTTAAAAACATCAAAAAAATGAATGAACAACAGATTACTGTATGAATGTGGTAGCTAAAACACAATATTTTGAAAATGGAATTTTAAAGCACAGTGCATCTTCCAAAGTCTACACATTTTGCAGACATTGTAATTATTTTGTATACAGATAAATGTAAAAATTTGAAGCTATGTTAAAAAAATAGAATACAAAATATTCATTTTTGTAGCATATTTTACTGATCTAAGTTCACCATACTACATTAAGAATATAAGTGGCCATATTCCCTATTTAGCATGGTGTCACATAGTCACCATTTCCTACCTCCTTCTGATTCCCCAAATACTTTGCTTTTTGGAAGCTGGCAATGAAGGTCAGAAATGACGATCAGAAATTATGATGTTACTGCAGGATGCTGTGACATCTTAATTTTAAACTGGTCCCCAGTGCCAAGATTGTAATCACAGCTCAGCACTGTTTTATTAAAATGAACAAGTGATTGTTAAGCTGAACAACAACTGGTCCTTACAGTTGCAACTGTGGCAGCATACCAATGGTCATGTGATTATGATCTGGGCACTGGCTGACCAGCTTAAAATTGTGATGTCACAGCATCTTGCAGTGACATCATAATTTCTGATTGCCATTTCTGACCTTCATTGCCAGCTTCCAAAAAGCAAAGTATTTGGGGAATCGGAAGGAGATAGGAAATGGTGACTAAATAGCATTGCACAATTTGCTTAATAACAGCAATTAGAAGTGCAGGAACCTCTGTCACTAAGCAGCACAGTGACATAATACTGTGTTTTACGACCCTGTCACTTAGTAACCAAAATTACAACAGTTAAGTTGGACTACCTGTAATATTATTTTATTTGGTATCTTTATTACAGATTAAAGTATATTTTTGTCAGACAATAATGTTCACTAACTGAACTTACTTTAAAAAGGTCTTCATTATTATCTGTTAATTCTGTATACTGACAGGAAATAAAAGTTGGAAGACAGAATAATTCATCATCCTGAAAATAAAATTAAGTCATAATTCTGACCTTTAACTTTTCCAAATCCCCACTTTTAGAAAAAGAACTAAAAAAAAAAACAGGGAAAAAATTTCCAATATGACAAATAGATTTATACATTGCTATTTCAGTTTCATTTTCTTAGCTATCACTACTGTGTACAGATTCTATTTCTTCTAAGATGGAAAGCTCATTTTTATCCTCTTGGTAGACTTCCAGTTCAGAAAAACAAAATGTTTACTCAAATTGAATCAAACTTTTCTACTCAAATAAATCCTTTCTGGTGAGGAGTTATATTGTGATACTGTAGATTAAAAAAAAATGTTACAAATTGTTAGAAAACATTTGGAGGAACTAAAGGTCAGCAATATATGAGTACATTGTCTTGTGGCATTCATTATTCTAAAAGAAAATATTTCACTGGCAGGTTGTTTTTGGAAGTTCAGTTTTTCAGAAATATGTGTCCAGTTCTTTCCATTTTGCAGAGAAATCTGAACACTGGAGGGGAAACATATTTTAGGGTAGAATATGTCTCTGTCTCTGTCTCTGTCTCTGTCTGTCTGTCTGTCTGTCTGTCTGTCTGTCTGTCTGTCTGTCTGTCTTTCTATCTATCTATCTATCTATCTATCTATCTATCTATCTATCTATCTATCTATCTATCTATCTATCTATCTATCTATCTATCTCTATCTCTATATGATGTGGTTGGATTGCATAGTGACTAGAGGATCACCTTGAATGCAGGAGACTGGGATTCAATTCCTGGCTGGTACATACCTTACTATAGGGGTCCTTGGGCAAAGACTGCCTAAAGTTTCAGCTGCCTACCTCAAAATATGACAGTGACATAAACTAGAAGAGTCCTGCTAGTTTAGATATTGCCCAGATTAAAAAGGTCCACATCAAATATAGAGGTACTGGGGCAATCTGATGAAAAATGGGTTACTGGAACTAACTGTACATGGTAAAGACAAGAGAACCTGGAATTGTTGGACTGCTAATACAACAGTACACCTAATGAAGGAGATATATGAAATGCGTGAGGGAGCTGTAGATGAACAGAAGACCTGAATCTACACTAATTAAGAAACAGCTAATTACACAACACTTCAACATAGTGAAAAGGAAACTGCTCTTACAACTTGAGATAGACCAACTACATATTGTATCCCATACTCAAGAAGACCCGGAAGAATAACCAGATGTACAGTCAACCCCTGAAGATGGAATGTTATTATTACCCTCTCCATTAGAGAGCACAGCTGCTGATATGAGGCATAAGATCTTGGATAAACTAATTACAATCAAGCCTTGAGACAGGTTCCCAAGGCTCAATAGACAATGGCCATCAGATAGTATGCTAAAAAATGCCAACAGAGCCCTCACAACAACTACCACTATTGTGATAATTCCAACAAATTAACTGGTATATGCTACAGCTGTTTTAATACGAGAAATGCTTGGTTACACAATCAAGAAGAATAGCAGTATATACATGCCCTGGAAAATAAGACTAGAGGTTAAGATCCAGGCAACACAGAGAGAGGTTAGTCAACTGGTGGAATCCAGAAGTGTGTGAAGATTGGGGATAAGACTTGGCTGCTAAAAAAATCAAGAACCTGACTCAAACTGAAGTCCTGGAGGCTGCTAAACAAAGGCTCATAGCATTGACTACCAGGCCAAGGAGATACACTAGAGAAGCAGGGGAACAAGAAGATAAATGCTCTGTTTCCAAAGAATCATCCCAAAGTGCACTCCCAACTGTAGTGCAATAACACAGTAACAGTACAACCACCAACAGCAGAAACTGAACAGTATTGGAAGAACATTTGCAAGAAAGAGAAGACACATATCAGTGCAAAATGACTGCAGGATCTGAGAGCAGACCACAGAAATCTGCCAGAACAGGAACCAGTCACCATCACAGTAGCAGACATACAGAACCTGAAGAACTGGACATCACCTGGCCCGTACATAATCCGGACCTACTGACTAACAGCAGCACAGATGAACCAACTGCTAGTAGCAGGCTCCCACCCAGACTGGCTAACACAAAGAAGGACAATGTTGATCATAAAAGATGCTTATAAGGGAATCCCCACCATCCAACTACTGTAATAACCTGCTTCCCTACCACATGGGAAGTCCTATCAGCACTAAAGCTGCCAAGTTACAAGAACATATGGGCCAGCACATGAACCCAACTCAGAAGTGCAACACCAAAGGCTCAGAACAATTATATCACCTTCCCAAAATAGTGATCTATTTATTTCTTATATTTTACCCATTTATTATTTTATAAAATCTATTTAAAATATACATTTGCATTTAGTATTCTGAGACATCAAGAGAAATAGTTAAAACCAACATGATACTTTTGTAGCCAGATAGCTATTGGATAAGCTATACTCTATGGCAATTTTACAATTATACCTCACATATTTTGATTATGCTTGGGTAGAGGTTGTTCAGAAAAGCCAACATATTACATTTGTATAGCAACAGCTTTCAAAGCCAAGAATATAAAATTGGTTTGTGCAAAAATATTCATATTGAGGACATATTGCTGACTACTGGGGCTTAGTTGTGAAATAGTATTCACTGCAACTACTGTATCTCAGGTCAATTGTATCTGCTGTTTTGTAGTTAATGAACCCTCCAAATCTTCTTGGTTTAGTACAATC